CCATCAAGAAGATACGTAGGAGGCTGTTCGGGTGAGAGGATCATTTTTTTGATGACACGGATATTGGGATTCCATCTTATGTCACCTGTACGAAATTTTCTATGGAGTTTATTCCCGAGTACTGAAATAGGTTCGTCTAACTTGACTCGGACATGTGTTCCTTCAGAGAGAAGTTCCGTCTTTTTTGACACTTTGGGTGACCCTGTTGGAATGTCTGGGGGATTTCTTTGCCAGATTTCATTTATTTTATTAACTACATCACGGAAATCTTCTGACCATTCCACGGATGTCACCCCGGTCTTCAACTCCTGTGCCACCATTCGTTTTAGGAGAGGTTCCTGGATTGCTTGGATGGCTCGTTCAGCGTATGATTGCTGTTTGTGTCTTCCTGGTTCGCCGAACCTCATCATCACCCCTAGGCTGTTCAGGAAAAAATCACGTACCTGATCATTGGTGAATTCTGATCCGGAGTCTGTCTCTATTCGATGTGTTGGTGGCTTAATGCGATTTCTTCTGTAGATTTTAACAAATCCATTGAGAACCTTATTTGCGGTTTTATCCTTTAGGGGTTCTGCATCGACTTGTTTACCCGTGACTTCCACCACTACGAGGAAATAGTGGAATCCTTTGGGTTCGACTGGCATCTCTGCAAGATCTGCCTGATGTGTTGCATTTGGTTTCCATACAACTACTTGTGGACGCTCTGATGACTTCTCCTTTAGGGGCTTTTTATATAGGTTGTAGTGCTCCTCACCTTTTAGAATTCGTGCCGGTACTCTGGAGAGATTGTAGTATTTGTAGTAATTCTCTAAATGCGACATATTATGACAAATTAAAGGAAAGATTTCGGACTTCAAATCTTAAGATGACACGATTTTACTGCCTAAAGTGTAAGAAGGAAACCGAGACTGCTAGTGAAATACAAGATATGACCACAAATGGTCGTTATCGTTTTCATTTTGATTGTTTAGTTTGTGGTATGCATAAGAATACTTTTACTGGGATAGACTGGGTTATCAAAAAGAAAACCAAGGAGAAGAAAAAAGAAACTGCGGCTAAAAGACATCAGATGGCGTACAATCGGCAATGCAAAAAACTCGGGCAGAAAATCTTAGATTCTGATGACACGTGTAAGCAGTGTATTGATAAATGCCTTAAGGAGGCAAAAAAGAGGAAGACGGATTAGTACCGCCTTCTAAAAGTATTCCTCATCATCTGAGTCATCGAGAGATACCTCTCCATCATCTGATTCATCATCCGAGTCATCAGGAGTGCGACCTTCCTTAAGCAATTGGATGTTGTACTTTATTTGAGTCCATTTCTCCCAGTCAGACTCTTGCGTTATAAAGCCGCATCTGAGGAGTGCTCTTTCTATTACTACCATCCCTGCAAACCTGGTGTATTTTTTCTG